GGGTGTATGAAAGACATAATGATCAGACTGCTGATTGCAGCCAGTTAGCAGAACTAGAGGGCCCAAAACCACATTTCGCTTAGGGCCACATGGAGGCTTGGACCGGCCCTGAACACACCCGTTGCTGTGGCAACCGCCTGCCGAGATCAACATATTGAATACCTGCTCTAGTAAAGCACAAACAGTTCAGAAATAATATGAAATGGGGAAAAAGCTATTTATTAACTGATTAAGTCGTGTTTTAGATTGTTCTTGAAAAACGAATCAGTCATGGCTTAACAGTGAACCCACTGATTTTTTTGTAGACAGCCGCTCCCATCTCTTGGAGGTACTGTGTACCCCCGCTAAATCTTTTAGGGGTACGCAGTACCCGACTACTTTCACCCCTGGTTAGTTGACAGGAAAGTGGGTAATGACAGAAGGGGAAGACATGCGGCAAAGGTCGCCAGGCCAGGAATTGAACCTGCAACAGCTGCATTGAGGACTGAGGCCTCCATATGTGGGTTGTGCTTAACCCCTGCTCCACCACAGCACACCCATACTTCTATAGTTTGAAGCAGTTTAAGAAGTAGGCGGAAAATAACAGTTTTGACCAATTAAATGGTTCTCTTGTATTTTATTTAAACGTCTTCAGGATAATGCAAAAAATAAATTTCAGCCTTAATTAAAAGCTTAAAAAAGCTCAAATCAACTGAACAGATTGTTTCTGCTTTTACTAAATAAAGCTGTCAATGTAAAGACGAAAACTTAATATTATGTATTTTATTTCTTTGTTAATTTGAATACAAAAAGCTAAAATGGATGTAGGATTAAAATAAAGGGGCTGTTACTATATTTGTACACAATCAGGTGCATAGAAAACCCATCATTAAATACCCAGAAAACCAAATCACATTAAAATATGAAAGAATAACATGAACCAATTAGCACATTATCCCAATAATTATCTGAGGTTTGAATAAATCAGTAAAATCACAGAAAAGAGCTTTCATGTGACACATCAAGTCCTAGAGTTCTCTAGAAAACTCAAAGTAAAACATGAAATATGGAGTTAAAAAAGTAAACCACAAAAACAAACTGAGAAATATTAAAGAATCAATTACTATGATGCAAAACTTCATTATTTACAGATTACTAGAATGACTATAAAACGGTAAAAATCTGTAAAATATTTTTATTTTCAGATCTAATTCCTGAAAACTGCTCTAACATCAGAGCTTCTGTGGGACATCCAGTTCTAAACTGGTTAAACTGGTTTCTGTGATGGAAGCTAAAGTTTCTCTGCAGTTTCCAGTAAATCATCTTTTTATCTGTGGAGCTTTGAGGAACATTTTCCTGTCAACAGAAGAAGAAGCAGCAGAGAAAAGAGGTTTGAAGTGTCTTTATGATTCAAAGCTGAACTGAAAATGATTCCCATGTTTCCATCTCAGACCATTTCTGGTTCCAGGATGAAAATGAATCAGAGAGAAAAAAGATCAACTTTCCAGTTGAATCCAGTTCAGATCAAAACTCCATGAAGCCTCTAAATGGAGCCCAGTTTGAATCGGATCTTTATAGATCCAAAGAGACAAACAATATCAGACACTAAATGACAGACATGAGAAAATAAACGGGAGGAAAATCTTGGAGGTCAGAGGTCATCACCGTGATCCAGTCAGAGTCTCTTTAGACTCGAACTGCTGCAGCTTCAACCTCTGAGGATCAGCAGGACACAGAGACCGTTCTCTACTTTACAGAGGTCTGAACCTGCAGAGAGAAGAAGGAAGGAGAGATCAGATCAGATCAGTGAGTGTTTCCATCCTCTCCAGCAGCAGTCAGTGACGCAGCACATCCACTAGATGGTTTCCAGGCAGCAGTCAGACTGATCTCAGAGCTGTGACTAAGATGAACCTGATCAGTTGTTTCCTGTTGAACTGAGAGAACAAGCAGATCTGAGATCAGATCTGCTGCTGCCACAGTTTGATGAATGTCTCTAGACATGTTGGACGGCTGGACGCTGGAGTCCAGCTGGACGTCCTGGAGACATGGACACAGCAACAACACTCATCTTCACACAAACACAAACACAGGAACACAGCAAGCTGCTGCTCCTCTGATTGGCTGATTGCTGTCTCTGTGTCCAATCAGGAAGCCTGAACCATTCTCCTCCCACTGAGAAGTTGCAGCTTTACTGGGAACACTGGAGCTTTGCTTTGATGCCAACTGGGTTTAGTTCAATATGCTGACAGCAGCTGGACTCACTACAAACATTTACTTACCATAAAGACTTTACAAAACGCTTCAGCTGCTGAACATCTGAAACCTCCAGGTTGTTTCCTTCCAGGTCCAGTTGTGTCAGATGGAGCCTGTTGGACTTCAGAGCTGAGGCCAGAAAATCACAGCTGATCTTTGACAAACTGCAGAGCTTCAACCTGAATAAAGAATAAAAGATGAGCTGAAGCCAACAGGATGCAGGTGAACCAGTCCAACAGAACCAGTTAAATATTTTCATGAATATTAAAGCCAACAAGTTGCTGCTTCAATAAAGACCTGCTGACTTCAGAACCAGAACCTGGGACTGGGTCATGTTGTGTTGGAGGATTTTAGTCAGTAAAATCATTCCAGGTTCTGATCAAAGTGTTGAAGCATCAATCATTGATTATTGATTTGTTCCTGTCAGATTCCAGGAATTCACTTTTCTAGACTGGATTGAATGACCTTTGACCTGAGGGGGATTTCTACACACTGGGGGTCCGAATGCTGTCCTGTTCTGACCTCAGATCAGAGGGTCCAACTCAGTTACACAGAGGGACTAAATTAAACTCTGGATCCAGGAACAAACTCAGAAAATATTTATTAAAACAGAAGAAATGAACTTTGATTTATGATCAATTATAGATAATTATTCACTGAAATATTGATAATTATATAATTACAAACCTCAATGTTTTCAGTCTGCAGCCTTTAGTCTGTAGAAAACCACAGAGCTCCTTCAGCCCAGAATCTTCCAGGTTGGTTCTGCTCAGGTACAGTCCTGTCAGATGGGTCGGGTTGGACTTCAGAGCTGAGAACAGAGACGTCCAGCTGGTCTCTGACAAACTGCAGCTGTTCAATCTGAATAAAGAATAAAAGATGAGCTGAAGCCAACAGGACGCAGTTAAAACTGAAATATGAACAAATAAATAATAAAATGTAGAAAATTAATTTCCCTGAATGTAAAAGAAACATGATGAACTGATTCTAACATCTGATCCAGTCAAACTGGTTTAAAGAGTCCAAACCAGCAGAACCAGAACATTTTATCAACAAAGAAACTCAAAGTTTTTCTAAAAGTTTCTCAGGATCTTAAACTCAGTCGGATGTTTTTTCTCTCCATGTTTCCTTACAGGTGTAGTGGTATAGAAATATACATAATTTCACACAAATAGTTTCCAGGTGAGAAGTTCCGGTTCTTGAAGTGGGCGTGGTGTATATAAGGGAGCTGCGGTGTTCATTCAGGCATGTGTCGTCTTTGTTCTCCCACTGTGTGGCTTGCGTCTGGTGGACTTTGACAGCAGAAAGCAACAAATCGCTGGCTGGTGCATGTTGCGCTGATGTTCTGGTGGTAGGTGTTCCCTCTCTCTGCACTTTAGCTGATCTTGGTCAGAAAATCTAAACTGAAGTGTGATCGTAGGTAAAACGCCACTGCGCTGCGTTCCTTCTCTTCCTCGGTCTGCGAGTGTGTGTGCATGTTTTGTGGATCAGCAGGTAAGAAATTGGCAGTCATCTAAGCTCCAATTTATTCTAGTTTTATTTAAAATGGTGACAAATTTTTTTATAGGTTCCCCACAGTTGAACCATTGCTGCTCTGTCTACGTTCGTTTCCCGGATCTGTTCGGCTTTGTTCTGCACCGGCTACGTAAATCTCCCGGATTTCTGCACAATTGTTCTCAAGTTGGACTGTGGCGGTGTTATCCGCCCTAATTGGAGCGGTGTTTGGGGTGTGGCATCGGCGAGCCAGTTTCATCTCCCACTGTGGCAGGGCCACGCCTGGTCTTAATGTTTTAACTTATATTGTCTGATTTCTATTTTTCTACTTTTGTTCACAGCCCTTTTTGTTTGGGCTGTGAACAAAACAGCCCAAACTGTTTTGTTCACTGCTGAGGTCCGCGGTGTTGGTGTGGTGACGGTGTCTTCCTCGTCTGTGTGCTGTGATTCTGGAGTTTGGGTTGTTTCACTGCGTCTGGTGTTAAAGGTTTTTTTTTTTTTTTAATTTGCTGTATTTGGTGGATGTCGTCCCCATAGCGCCCCCTCCGGCCGGTAACCTCAACTGCTGCAGCAGTTCTATTTTCTTTGATTTCTTTAGTTTAATTTTTAAAAAGAAACTGGTTTTAAAAACATTTTCAAAAGAATTTAATAAACGCTTTTTTTTTTTATAATTTTGAAATGGTCTCAGATGTTTTAATCTATGCATAACTGAACCTGTGTGCCTTAAACAAGAGGTAATAATCTCTGGGTGAAATTCCCAGGGTGGTGTTGTTGAGCAATTTACCAAAACTGAACTTCCACAAAATCTGAGTTTCCATCTAGTGTCGCCACAGAGGCTCTGTATCAGCTGACTGCTCTGTACCTTCATTTATCATCAGATATTTTATGTCTCCAGTTTTTGGTCATTAATCTATTAATGATGTTTTTCTTGCTGGTTGTATTTTAACTGCAGCTCATTGCTAAGTATGAC